GGCGCCGCCGCCTTACTTTCAAGTGTACTCGTGCACACGCGCTCTGTGCTAAACTTAGCCGCAACGCCAGTGATCTTGTGGTCAGACTCCAAGGTCACGCTCCACTGGATTCGAGGTCACGCCTCTCGCTGGAAAACTTACGTGGCCAACAGAGTATCACGAATTCAGCAGCAAATTCCGGAGGCTCAATGGCGTCACGTCCGGGGCAAGGACAACCCTGCCGACTGTGCCTCCCGGGGACTGACACCACGCGAGCTCCTCAGCCATCCCTTGTGGTGGACGGGTCCCGCATGGTTATGCGGGAATCCGACGCAATGGCCAAGCGTCGATCTGGAGCCCATCAAGGACTTACCGGAGCAACGGGCCTCCTCTTTCCGGAGCAACGGGCCTCCTCTTTCTTAGAGTCAAAAAAGTTCTTAGAGTTCTTAGAGTCATAGTCTTGCTACTATATCGCTTCGTAAAACCGCCGTGCTAACCGCTTAGTGAAAACCGCTATAAAACGAATCTTTTCGAGAAGTGCCGAGAAAATCGCCGAGATTTTCCATCACCGCGATTCCAACTACAATTGGGAAAAGGTGACCGCATTTAATATTCTGTTAATCTAATATTTATTTAATTATATTTTCTGAATTTGTAACTGAGCATATTAAAGAAAATTCTTTTGTTAAATTACAAGAAACGGAATTCTCTTTACTGTCGCGTATCATATCAACCTTGTACCGTTCTCTCACTCGAATCTTTCCGCGCGGTGCATTCCCGCACAGTAATAATAAAGAAAACTTATTTATATAACCCCATTCAATGTCAATGAACTAACATATAATATATAATAAAAATTACCGCTCTAATCTTATTTAGGCTAATCTTATTTATTTATTTAGTTATAATTGCATTAAGATATTACGGACCGAAATAAGTATCAAATCAGAAGTTCGAAAGTCCATAATTGTAAAATTGTGTTTAACTATTATAGTTCTTCAGTTGTTATCGAGAATCAACTCACAAGAGAGGTTAGGCAACTCAAAAATTCACAAAATTCTGAAATTTGGTGTGCAAGTAGAGTAATTCATCCGTAACACAAAACTATTTTTTGTTTGTGCGGAATTTCAGTTTTAAAGGGTGAAACACCTCTTTGAAAAAAATCGATTTTTTTCTTTCGAAGCGAATATTGTCGAAATTGTAAAGGATAGAAAAAAATTTCCAAATTAAAAATTGAATCACTTCATAAATACTACAGAACTGTAATAAAAAATTTTTTTAATTAATTATTTATTGTGTACTCCCACCACCACCCCTATTTTCAAAAATTTGTTAACGTTTATGTAACTAAAATTAAAGAGCATTTTACGTTGAAAATGACGATGTATATGATAATTATGTTCCGAAAATCCATTTTTCAAATATAAACAAAATTTCTCTATTTGCGCGCCCTGTACGTATTAGTCTCATACCGCGTTGGGTGCGCGAAGTAGCGTGAAAGGCAATTACAATACAATCCATCAGTATAGCAGCAACTATTGAAATAAGAACTTTTATATAACAACAATAACAATAATAGTAATAATAATTTGTCAAACTGCTTGCAAAACCAGTCTCAAATATTTTTATAGTGTATAAAGGTATGCACAAAATACTTTGGACAATTAAAAACAAAGCATAAATAAAGAAATTATTATTTTTATAAAATATCATGCATTTAATTTTGGTCTTAAGAACAGCTACTTGCAACATAGTGAAAAAAAAAGATACTGTATCAACAGTAATTCCGCACGAATAAAAAATAGTTTTGTGTTCTAGATGAACTACCCTATTTTCACAGAATTTTCAGAATTTTTGATTTGCCTAACTTCCCTGTTAAGTGCCTGAGCGTACGTCATGTCGCGTGGCAGAAAAAAATCAGAATCAGTAATGTCCTTGATAACGAAGCCTTTAAAATTTTAGAAGGGAATAAATATGCAAAACAGTATGTACTGACAACTGTATGTGTGAAAGATAAAACTCTCAAATTAATTAAAATAATCGCAGTGACGTAGGTATATGAATCATAATAACTGCAACATACATATGTAAGAAAAGGACATACTGTGTTTACGAATTCTTATTTAGTTCGTGCGTTTCCGATTTTGACGATATGTGCTAGAATATCAGCGCGCCTGCGCAAGAGGAAAGCGAGAACAAAGACACAGTCTAACAACAGCGAGGCACGTGCGCGGCACGATGAAGAGTTGAGGCTGAAAAACAAAGAGTCTCTCTGCTTGAAGAGCTGAAAAACAAAGAGTCTCTCTGCTAAACCGTCGGCCAGCGATACTGGTTCACCGGACATTCCATTCTCTGGATGTCGTCGGATATCCTACAAATTTGGGGGGGGGGGTCGCCCGGGATATATATGACAAGAGCTGGTGAGAGACGATTAGACGAAAGAAAGACGAAAGACGGAGAAAAGACGAAAGAAAAGACGTAAAATTAAAGACGATTAGACGAAAGAGAAACGAAAGACGGAGAAAAGACGAAAAGAAAAGATGTAAAACTAAAGACGATTAAACGAGGGAGAGAAAAGACAAAGAAAAAACGAAAAGAAAAGACGTAAAACTAAAGATGATTAAACGAGAGAGAGAAAAGACGGAGAAAAGACGAAAGAAAAGATGTAAAATTTAAGACGATTAGACGAAAGAGAGACGAAAGACGGAGAAAAGACGAAAGAAAAGACATGAAATTAAAGACGATTAAACGAGAGAGAGAAAAGACGGAGAAAAGATAAAGGAAAAGACGAAAAGACAAAAGACGAAAGTCAACTACGAGGTGACGCAGCGACACCAGAAACACCAGCAAGACCGCGAGAGCGTCGGTAACGCCAACGGCGAGAGGGCGGTGACAATACGACTCGAGTGAGTGCGCGACAGTAGCGACGGCAAACACGTGTCACGTTGCGCGAAGACAAAATGAGCAACCTCGTTCAAATAAAAGCTATTCGACAAAAGATACGTACGGCGTCGACTGTTGCAGTGACGGCTTTGCATAGATTCGTATTCGAAAAGGAAGGCGACCGCAAGAACCAACAGAGACTCAGAGATTTCGAAGGCTTCATCTTCAAGAAAGACACGGTAGGTACGTGAACAAGATGGAAGCGGCGCGAAAACTGTCGATCGGCGACTTAATATCATGCTGCAACATCCTGAGTCTAGAATATGGCGGAAATAGAAAAAAGATCATAACGCGCATACTACATGATTTAATGGACCTAGATATACTCGCGCCAAAAAACAGAGAACAGGATGGCGAATTAGACGAAGAGGAGAGCGACGAGGGAACAGCGGACGAGCAAGACGAGGAAAGGGAGGAGCAAAGAAGTAACAAAGAAAGTGAAAATAACCTCGAAGAGAGCCACTCTATCAGAGGCAACCAAGGGAATATGAAATTCGCAATGACATATCGAGACGTACAAGACTCAATAAAAACTTTCACTGGAAAAGATGCATATCCGGTTGAAAGGTGGATATCTGAATTCGAAGATACGGCTAACTTGTTTGGATGGTCGGAATTACAGAAGTTAGTGTTCGCAAAGAAATCGCTAGCTGGACTCGCTAAAATGCTCATCGACAGCGAAGGCATCACCAAGTCATGGAAGAAATTAAAAGAAACTCTACGAGACGAATTTATAGACAAAATAAACAGCGCTCAAATACACGAAATGCTGGGCAAAAGAAGATTGAAGAGAGACGAAACCGTACCGGAATATTATTATGTGATGAAAGAAATAGTTACAGAGGCAACATAGAAGCAGAAGCACTCATGAAGTATGTGATTGATGGACTTCCGGAAGACGCGCAGAGTAAGATTATATTGTACGGAGCAAAAAAATTGACGGAATTCAAGGAGAAGCTGAAAGTATACGAAGCAATTCGGAAGAAGAACTGAGAGGATGAGGACGAGAGAGAGAAACAACATGCAGAAGAAGATAGAAGAAGCGAGGAAACCATCAACATCAAAAAGTGAAAAGGAACAGAAAACAGACGTGAGATGCTACAATTGCGGCGATAAAGGAGACAAAGCTAAAAACTGCAAGAAGAAAGAACTAGGTAAAAAGTGTCAAAAATACGGACATACGGCGTGGTTGTGTAACGTCAGACGATAGCGAGGCGGTAGCGGATAAAAAGACGACGGTAATTAATACGGTTACTGATGCACCGAGCGATAGAATGTGTAAACGAATCACGATAAACGATGTGCGGGTCAATGCGTTAATAGATCCCGGCAGCCAAATCACAGTAATGCGCAAAGACATTTACGATAGAATGAAATTAGACAAGCTACGGAGAAATAATATTCGTTTAACCGGTTTTGGGAAAAACGAAGTACACTCGTTAGGTTGCGTAAATATAATTATAGAAGTAGATGCTGATGAATATCCGTGGGTAGTGCACGTGCCAAATAAAGCTACAAAGTCGAGCATCATAATTGATAGCGATTTTCTAGCGACGACGGAAATGACCATCAATAACGATGGAATAATTATACAAAGAGCAACATCTGCTCAATCACAAATACACAATATCACACAAATAATTAACACAAATCAACGTGATCGAAAAGCAACCGTTAGACATTGGTGGCGCGACGAATTCGAAAGTGCGCGAAGAAGTAGAGACGATTGTTGAAGAGTAAGTAAATAAGTGTAAGACAACCGACGTGAGCATGCGTATCGTATCAAAAAACGAAAGGCCTATTTTTCAAAAACCGCGACGATTACCGGCACCGAAGTAGTCGAAAATCAAATAGCGGAACGGTTAAACGACGGGGTCATTGAGAAGTGTTCGTCGGAATACGCGAGTCCAGTAGTCGTCGTAAGAAAGAAAGATGGATCACCGCGTGTATGTATCGATTATAGGAAGTTAAACCGAGTCATAGAAAAAGACGGTCATCCCTTACCACTAATTGAAGATCTATTAGATAAATTAGAGGATGCGTGTGTGTTTAGTACGTTAGATTTGAAAAACGATTTTTTCATGTATCCGTAGAAAAAGAGAGTCGAAAATATACGGTGTTTGTCACCTCGAACGGTCAATACCAATTCCTGAAAGTCCCTTTTGAATTATGTAATTCGCCAAGGGTTTTCCAAAGATACATTAATGCTGCTTTCTGGGATTTGATTAGACAAAATATAGTGTTGCTTTACGTAGATGACTTGATCGTGCCGGCAGCAAACGAACAAGAAGTGTTGGAACGATTGCGAACCGTATTGAAAACAGCTAGCGACTACGGTTTGCAAATTAATTTTAAGAAGTGTCAATTCGTGAAAAGAACAATCGAGTTCTTAGTACACGTAGTAGAAGGGGGCAAAATTTACCCTTCCCAAGAGAAAGTCAAAGCCGTGATAGATTACCCAGAGCCGAAAGAATTTAAAGACGTTCAAAGCTTTTTTGGATTAACGGGTTACTTCAGAAAGTTTATATCTTCATATTCTACGATCGCGAAACCGTTGAGCGACATGTTGCGGAAAGATCAATCTTATAATTTTGATGATAAGGCTCGAAACGCGTTCGTACACTTGAGGACGATTTTAACTCAGAACCCAGTACTGAAAATATATTATTCGCGACACGAAACGGAAGTACATACGAACACAAGTATAGACGGTTATGGAGCTGTACTACTACAACGTTCAGACGAAGACGATTTATTACACCCAGTACATTTTATGAGCAAAAAGACGAAAAAGGAGGAAAGGAATTATACGAGTTACGAATTAGAAGCGCTTGCGATAGTAGAAGCACTTAGAAAATTCCGAATATACCTGCTAGGCATTCAATTCAAAATAATTACTGATTGTGCGGCTTTTCAGCGAAGATGGGCTTTAGTATTAGAAGATTATGATTACATCATAAAGCACAGACCGGGAAACCGTATGAAACACCGATGCTTTGAGTTGACATCCGGTATGACGATAGCAAAAAGTCCGATTATACCACAAATTAGGAGTCAACAAGCGAACGAAGAGATTCAAGCGATAAAAGAAATTGTCAAAAACAAACCATATAAGAATTACCACATAAGCGGCGATTTATTATACAAATTTCAAGACAGTAGAGATTTACTTGTTATTCCCAGAACGCTAAAATTAGACGTAATTTGAACGATTCACGAGAAAGGGTATATGGCAGCGAAACATATCGAAGAACGTATTCGGCAGGAGTACTTCATACGCGATTTAAGAAGTAAAGTAGAACGACACATTGCCAATTGCGTGCAATGTATATTGACGAATCGCAAAGAAGATAGGCAAGAAGGATATCTGCATCCCATTCCCAAGCCTAATGTGCCGTTACACACATATCATGCCGATCATTTAGGGCCATTAGATACCACTAATAAAAACTACAATCATATTCTCGTTATTATTGATAGTTTTGCTAAATTTGTGTGGTTGTATCCGACTAAATCTACCACCTTCGCGAGGTCACAAGTCGGTTAGACATTCAAAAATAAATATTCGGGAGCCCGAAACAAATCGTGACGGTTAGATGCACAGCTTTCACCTCCCAAGAGTTCAAGGAGTATTGTCAGAGTGAAGGAATTGAACACGTGACAATCACCACGGGATTGCCAAGGGCAAATGGACAAGTGGAACGTTTGAATAGGGCGATCGTATCGATACTTTTCAAGTTATCAATCGAAGAACCTGCTAAATGGTACAAATGTAGATAAATTGCAACGTATATTAAATTCCACGTTCAATCGTAGTGTAAATGCGACACCTTTTGACTTACTATTCGGCGTAAAAATGCGCGACGAAACCGATCTGAAACTACACGAAGTAATAGAACAAGAATTTCGATTGAAATTTGAGGAAGAACGTAACGAAATTAGAGTTAGAGCGAAAGAGTAAATTCTGAAAGTGCAATCGGAGAATTGTAAAATATATAATCTCAGACGTAAGAAAGCTACAGAATACCAGGTAGGAGACGTAGTAGCGATCAAGCGAACACAATTAGGTTCAGGCCGAAAGTTACGCGCGAAATATTTAGGAGATACCTAATTGAGAAGGTTAAGCCTAATGACACATACGATGTGATTAAAAGTGGAGTTCACGAAAGACCTGTAAGTACTTCGACTTGCGCTGAATATATTAAACCCTGGAATACAGTTGAATGTAACCAATATCATTTTGTAAGACGTAATGTTAGGTTAAGGGGAACAATTTTGTAAGATGTTAGTTATAAGTCGACGATATTATTTTTGTAAGGCGTTAATCATAGTCGGCAATATTATTCTGTAAGGCGTAATGTTAGGTGAAGGGAAACAATCCTGTTTGTAAGACGTTGATTATACGTTAATATTATTCTTGTAAGACATTAAGTATAAGTCGATAATATTATTCTGTAAGATGTAATGTCAATCTAACAGCTAGCGTCGTGCGGGACGCACGATTGTGCAGAATAGCCGAGTGTAGGAAAAAGACATACTGTGTTTACGAATTCTTATTTAGTTCGTGTGTTTCCGATTTTGACGATATGTGCTAGAGTATCAGCGCGCCTGCGCAAGACCGAAAGGTAGAGGAAGGCGAAAACAAAGACACAATCTAACAACAGCGAGGCACGTACGCGACACGACGAAGAGTTGAGGTGAAAAACAAAGAGTCTCTCTGCTAAACCGTCGGCCAGCGATACTGGCTCACCGAACATTCCATTCTCTGGATGTCGTCGGATATCCTACATATACATACACTATTTGTTATTTTATTTAACTACTTTACAAACCGCACAATAAGATAGTGTGTAGAACTCTATTTTAATATTAAATTGAGAGTAATATTGATAAACTTATTGAACATTCTGATTTACATTTTTAATAATACTAGTTTAGTCGAAAGCATACAAGCAATAATAGATACTATCACAATCTTCTTCAAACTTTTGCAATACGTATTCCGTAATAAATGCGAGTTTATCTGCATTTGTTCCACCTTTCTCTATACTTGTCTTCCACCTGTATAGTTGATTTAAGGATTTAACCTTGCTAAACTTGGACTATACAATAGTTAAACCTCGATAGGCCTTTTTTCCATCCTTCCAAAATTGAATAGCTTTTCTCTTATAACTGAAGTCGATTTTATCACTTTCATTATCAATAATGTATTCTTCAGGTTCAAAACTGTCTTCATCTTCTTCTTTTTCTGCACTCGTAATATACTCTACAACTTGTGGTCCACGTGGTTCTGATGGATCAAAATCCAATACGTAATCACGTTCTAATATTGTAATAATACTGAATGAGTATTTTGAACAATTTGTAGAATGTCATGAATTTCATTATGTATTTCAATTTCAAACGGTGTTATAGATGTTTGTGTTATACTTGCAATTTGAAATGTAGTTGCTAACATATTTATTATGTTAAAATTAAATTTAATTATTCGTAAAATTAAATGACGTCATTTTAAAGAGAATTCTGTCAAGCAATTATTATTAACAGAATGGTGACTGATTGTTGTTACAAATGAAACTGAGAATAGTACTTCCTCGAATATTTATATGAATCAAAATATACGATTACATAAACTTATTTACGAATAGATGTTACACAAATAGATTATTAATTGCATCATCTTATTCCGTTAATAGTCCAATGCCCTACAAAACACTATATATCTTTTATTTATTGTGTGGTTTGTAAAATAATCAAGATTATCAATGTGATACTGTGTTCATTTAACGTTAAAAAATGAAGTTCTATGCAACATCTTATTCATCATGCGATTTGCAAATCAAATGTATATTAATAATAATTAATTGTAAGTATATATCGCTTTATGAACTATTTTAATAATTAAACGTAGTAAAACTGACTTTATAAATTCAATGACTTGGTTACTTTAAACAAGAATTTCTTTAAATGCAGAAATGCAGAAATGATTATTATTAATAGTGTCATTATTAATTAATAATTGTTTTATTAATAGTGTTATTGAATCAATAAAATTATTTTTAATAAAATAATAAATGTTTGATCCACTATTTCAATGATTCATATTTATTTCCTTTCAGAATTCCAGAGGTTTCGTTATCATGGACATTACTGATTCCGATTTTTTTCTACCATGATAACATGACGTACGCCCAGGCACTTAACAGGGAAGTTAAGCAAGTTAAAAATTCAGAAAATTCTGAAGCATTACGTGGAATAGTTCATCTAGAACACAAAACTATTTTTTATTCGTGCGGAATTACTGTTGATACAGTATCTTTTTTTTCATTATGTTGCAAGTAGCTGTTCTTAAGACCAAAATTAAATGCATGATATTTTATAAAAATAATAATTTCTTTATTCATGCTTTGTTTTTAATTGTTTTGCCAAAGTGTTTTGCGCATACCTTTATACACTATAAAAATATTTGAGACTGGTTTTGCAAGCAGTTTGACAAATTATTATTACTATTATTGTTATTGTTGTTACATAAAAACTCTTATTTCAATAGCTACTGTGCTGATACTGTACTGATGGATTGTATTGTATTTGCCTTTCACGCTACTTCGCGCAGCCAACGCGGTATAAAATCAATACGTACAGGGCGCGCAAATAGAGAAATTTTGTTTATATTTGAAAAATAAATTTTCGGAACATAATTATCATATACATCGCCATTTTCAACGTAAAATGCTCTTTAATTTTAGTTACATAAACGTTAACAAATTTTTGAAAATAGGGGTGGTGGTGGGGGTACACAATAAATAATTAACAAAAAATTTTTATTGCAATTCTGTAGTATTTATGAAGTGATTCAATTTTTAATTTGGAATTTTTTTCTATCCCTTACAATTTTGATGATATTCGCTTCGAAAGAAAAAAAAATCGATTTTTTTCAAAGAGGTGTATCACCTTCTAAAACTGAGATTCCGCAGAAACAAAAAATAATTTTGTGTTACAGATGAACTACTCTACTTGCACATCAAGTTTCAGAATTTTTTTGAATTTTTGATTTGCCTAATCTCCTTTCCCGTCAGTTAACAATTTCATATAAAACGTACATTCCGAACAAGGATTTCTTCAACGACTATCCTACTATATTCAGTACAATTAAATGTCAATTTCTGATTAAAAAATTATTATATTTAATTCAGTATTGAGAATTTATTTTTCACTTACTTTAATTTATGTAAAATAGTCAATTGAATCAATTTCAAATTATGTATTATAATAAAACGCTATTGATTGTCAGACGATTTGGAATGAACTGATATTGTAGGTCAGAAAGTACATACTGATGTGTCACGAAATAAACAAGTATGTTCTAAAATATTAAAAAATAAGCTCATGTATGTCAAGTATGTAAAAATAAGATTTATCTAATAACTCAGTATCTTTCATTAAATTTATACCGTTTTTTTGCCCCTTTATGTAAATCATTTCGGAAATGTTTCTTTTCCGGAAATTTGTCTCATAATATAAAATTTTAACATTTTTCAGTCAAAGTTATGATTGGAGCTAATAATGTATTTTATGGCTATTGAGTGTTTGGGTTGATCTAATCTTACATTGTTTCGATACTCTTTAATTCTAGTTCGGAGTTGTCTCTTCGTTTGTCCAATATAAGAGGCATCGCAACATTACAATTAACTTCTGACTTGATATTTATTTTTTTGATCCGTAATATCTTAACGCAGGAATAACTAAATAAGATTAGCCTAGAGCGATAATTTTGATTATATATCATATGTTAGTTTGACATTGAATGGGGTTATATAAGTACGTTTTCTTTATAATCACTGATGAAGACTTTGTAAGTCGATACGTTAAAATTTATAGCGTTATAAGAATGTAATAAAAGACGAGTTTTATTAGTTAACCATATATGCTCGTTTTTTAAAAAGCTTTGACATTTTAATTTAGAGCGGAGCATCGTACGAAAGATTCCAGTAATATGTAAATTTCAACGTTCTATACGTTCTATTCTATAAAAAGAAACGTTTTTAACATTACGTACATACACAATACAGAGCATCGCGCGGTGCGTTTACTGAGCAGACGTTACAATCTGACGGCTGCGGGCTACAAGTATTTAGAAATTGGAATTAGAATTGGAAAAATGAAGTTACGTAGAGATCGCCCTGGAAGATCATCACGGACAAGAACTGT